GAACGAGTGGAATCATGATCTCTCCGTCGTTATCGATATAGGCGCCGATCGATTTGATGATTTTTCCCTGTCCTGAGCGTCCTTCCTTCTTGAATTCCGCTGAGAGCACGTATTTGTCGTCGTGGGCCTGAGAAAATTATTTTTTGGGTTTAAAATGAAATTTTGAGCTAAAAAACGCATTTTAAGCCGATAATCATGATTTCTTGCACATANACCCCACGCTCTCGTTTCTCTGCGTCTCTTGTGGGTCTGCTAGCTATTTAACAGGCCAACGCGCTTCACGCAAACATTAGCAGATCCACGCTCTCGTTGACCTGCTCAATATTTAGCAGACCCATTCTCGCTATTTTTCCTTCGCAAAAAACATTTTCTCTTAAAAATGGGTCAAAATTCATGCTTTTTTCGGCAATGTTCAATCAATTCCTACCTGCAAATTCTGCAAATGATAGTGATTCTCGGAGAACGGCGACGTCGTCACCGACGCCTCATCATCCGACTGTTGCATTGTTTTCAGCAGCTTCCCGATTTTATTTAGTCTTAACGGCGTCGTGGACGTCGATACATCGGTAAGGTGTCCTGATGAGGAGGCGGGGCTTATTTGAGCGGATGATCTCCACGATCCAAATGATCTTAAGGGGTAGGATCCGTCAGAGTTTATTCCTCGGAACTGTCTGGGGGCAGCGGATGACGTGGATTCCGCGTAGATGTGTTCATTGGTCGCGTAGGGATCCCTAATAAGCATTGGCTGACTTCCAACACTATCCCTAGACCGCAGACTGGTTGAATCTCGCTCATCAGCTTCTGTGATTCGATTTAGAGCTCCGTAGATCCTCTTATTGCTCTTTCTCTTCCTCTTTTCTTCTCTATAGGATGGCATATTCCCAAATTTAATCTGTCGATCTGGGGACTCTTCAAGCTTTTCGTCAGATGGTTTTGGGATCTCCACTATCGATCGGCGACGGTAGCATACCATCAAACATACGAGACAGAGCATCAGGAACATTCCAAAGCCCAGTAGAATGGCGAATAGAGTTATGGTGTCCAGGGTGGTCCCAATATGGGGAATCACAATTTTCTTGGAGCCTATGGAAATGTGGCCATCTCTCTCGCTGGTTTTAAATGGGTCAAAACCCATGCCAGCTTGATACGTGGATGTATTACTGCGAATATCACAAGCGGCACCTGCCCATCCATTAAAGCAAACACATTTAGCTGTAGTTGTACAGTGTCCATGGCCAGAGCACAAAAGAGCCAGATTATTAGTGGGACAAGCTGTCGCAGAGGTTACAGAGGACATTTCAACGCAGGATCCGCCCACGCAGACTCTACCGGATCCACAGTTGGTGCCATCGGAGACCATAGATGCTTGGTAGGCACTTCCTGAAGCTCTAGTGCTCAGCGCAATCGATTTACATTGTACTTGCTTCTCATTTTCGGTAAAATGAAAAGTGAAAGCTTTCAACGTGGCATCTGTAGGCGTCAAGGATCCAGAATGGCAGTGTAGGGTACCACATCGAGCGTCCTCCAGTTGACAGCTATGGTAATTTCCATCGTTTTGAACTCCACAGTTTGCATATTCGGCTCCTTTGGTATTCTGCTCAAAGCACACGGGTTCAGCGACCCGGGCTTCTCGTCCCCATAGCTTTTGACATTGCTCATGATTATCTGAGCAATTCCCTCGCCAGCACTGTCCATCCTGCCCGCAGACCGTTCCATCGATTAGGTGGCCATCTGGAGGACAGTCCCCGGATTTTCCATCACAAACTTCTGCCACGTCACATGGGCTTTTTGAGGAGCGACAAGTTTCTCCGGATTTGCGAAGCTCACATCGATGACAGCACTTTTGATGGGCGGCGCATTGAGCATGAGGTCGTAGGGTGCATGTCAGCGGGTCGCAGCACGGATCCTGGCAGTTTTCACGTGTTCCACAGTCGCATTCTTCGTTGCCGTCGACGATGCCGTTGCCGCATTCGCGAAGTTCGGAGACCTGGAAAAATTTTTATAAAGAAAAAATCTAGGCCATGACCTTAAAAAATCTAGGTCAGGATCTAAAAAACCTAGGTCATGACCTGGAAAAATTGGGTCATGACCTAAAAAAAATCCAGGTCATGATCTGGAAAAATCTAGGCCATGGACTAGAAAATCTAGGTCATGACCTGGAAAAAATTGGGTCACGAACTAAAAAATCTAGGTCATAATCTTAAAAAAATCTAGGTCATGACCTGGAAAAATTAGGTCATGGCCTAGAAAAAATAGGTCATGACCTAGAAAAATCTGAAAAATCTATGTCATGACCTAAAAAAATCTAGGAACTCTCACCTGAAATGGCTTATTCAACAAGCACTGAATATTTCCATCCTGCCAAATCCCATGCATCCGTGCCACCGAACACTTTGAGAATTGCCACGTAAACGGAGCGCCCAGTCTTCCCGGCTGCTGTCTCATCACACATTCTGGCGATGGTTCACAGCTACACGCCGTAGTATCATGCTCCAAACCGAGAAGATGTCCAATCGATTGTGCCAGTAATTCACCATTCCAATGCGTAGCAAACTGCTCAACACCCCTCAGAATAACCGCCGATCGCGCGGTACAAATCGATCGAATCGCCGCGTTCGAAACTTCTTGATTCGCGAAGCCACCGGCGCCGGTGAACAGAATCGACGCGTCCTTCTGAATGTGATAAATGTGGCCAGCCGCGTAATCCACAACTCCTGATAGTGTCCGTTCGATGTCTTCGTGTAGATCGATTCGTTGAACGTCGGACCATAATTCCACGTAGACAGCTGATAGACGAATGTTTAGGTCTCGGGAGAGCATCTGGAAAGAAAAACATTGATTACAATCGGCGAAAAACCTTTTAAAAATCGATAAAATATTGATTTTGGGCCAAAATAGCGAATTCGTTTCATTTCTCTGCGTCACTCATGGGTCTGCTAATTATTTAGCAGGCCAATGCGAACACTAGCAGTCCAACGAGACGCAGAGAAAGAGAGAAAGCGCGTGGGTCTGCTAAATATTTAGCAGACCAAGTCTCGCATTTTTGGGTCATTTTTGAGATTTCCCATGGCTCAATTTGTCTGAAATTTTGCTATCACATCAAATTGACAGTGAGAAATTCAAATCTTCAGTCAGAATTCCAAAATTTTCAGTTTCAGTTGAGCTATAGGGGTTTTGAAGAAGCAATTTTTTGAAAAATGACATGTTGGCCTGCTAATTATTTAGTAGGCATATATATATATACATATATACATATCAACAATAAGTCAAAAAAATTTTTTTGCGTTTTTTTGGTATTTTCTCGCTTTTGTGTTTTAAAAATGGGTCAAACTGTATGATTTTTTGTCGTTTTTTCGGATTATTTGCGATTTTTCGGTTATTTTCTTACATTTTCTCTCGAAAATGGATCAAAAATCATGCTTTTTGGTGATTTTGCAGGTTTTTCTCACATTTTCTCTCAAAATGGGTCAAAATTTATGATTCTTCGTCGTGTTTGCAGGGTTTTTAGGCTTTTCTTACCGAATCGGCGACATTCAGCGACTCGAGCATATAGGAGATGGCGTCCATGTCGTGTAGTCCGCGTTGTTTCATCTGGAAAAATACATTTCCTTGAAAAATTCAAATTCTCCGATCACTTACAAACTCATAGTCCGCGATCAACGCCACTTCGACATATTTCGTTCGTTTCGACACGTCTCTTTTAGCCAAATTAGGCTCCACCCCTTCGTATCGTCGATGATGCTTCCGATGTTTATGCTGAACAATATTTTCCGATCGCTTAACCCGTTCTCCAACAGAATGAGCCATACTGGACCCGCATTTCGCTTCTTGACCCCATTCGGATTTGTATAAAATGTGGGGATGTCTTCTGGAATTTCGATCACCACCGTCGAGAGGCCATATACCGTAGGTGGTACCATTGGCAAACGAAATGACACCACGGAGTCCGTTACAAGAGCTCAGTGCCACAAATGAGCTCTCCTCACCGCCTACCGTACCTTGGTAGTAGCAATTTTCAACGCGGTTCTGGAAAAATTGAATTTTTAGAACTTGATCTTTGATACGTAGTCATAAAATATTACGCTGATTAGAACGGCACCAAAATCAGAGCTCTAGCTTAAACAAGAACCGAGTTATGACCCATTTTTGACCCAACTACACTGTTAGTGTCCATATCTCGCTTAATTTTCAAGCTAAAGCTTTGATTTTAGTCTTATTCGAAATTTAGACTCTTCCTCACTTGTATAACCCTCTCCCCATCCGCGTCCAACTTATGAAACGCTGTCTGATTCAGGAAAACAAAATTGTTCCGTTCCAACACCAATTTCAGCCGTCCCAACTGTGTCGATCTAATAACAATTGTGACATGAGCATAATGTTCTTGAGCTTTCAAAAAATAATTCCGGGTGTCGATTCCGATTCGCTCGTTTTGTCACGAATTTGAAACGGGTGCACGATTTCGTAGCCGTCCGCTCGCATCGTTTCCATGAACGCCTTGTTGGCAGTCGTTTGGCGAATGTCTACTGAAAATTGGAGGCTATAAACTACAAAAAATCGAAAAAGAATCCTGAAAAAGCTTCAAAATTAAAGGTTTTATGCGCTTTTTTCTAGTTTCAAACATTAGCAGACCACTTCTCTCGTTTCTCTGCATCTTGTTGGTCTGATAAATAAATAGCAGGCCAACGAGACGCAGAGAAACGAGAGGAGTGGTCTGCTAAGGTTTGGAAACGCGTTGGCCTGCTAAATAGCTAGCAGGCCAACGAAGACGCAGAGAAACGAGAGCGTGGGTCTGCTAGTGTTTGCACAAGCCATAAACACTAGAAGACCCACGAGACGCAGAGAAACGAGAGAGTTGGCCTGCTAATTATTTAGCAGACCAATGCTAGCTTGCTTGGGTCATTTTTGAGATTTCCCATGGCTCGATTTGTCTGAACTTTTCCCATTATATCAAATCGACTACGAGAAATTCAAATCTGAAGTCAGAATTTTAAAATTTTAACTTTCAGCTGAGTTATAGGGGTATTTAAATGAGCAAATCTTTTTCAGACTACAAACTACACACACAAACCTTTCGCTATCACCTCTCCTATCGAGCATAGCACTATCATCAGTAATCCAACCATTGTAGTAGTTATTCTTGTCAATTTTTATAGGTTTAGCAGCATTTGGGGAATCTGTGGGAAACCTGAAAATTGAATTTTGAGGGTTAAAAAGGCAAAAAAGAGAATATTCGTCAGCGAACAAACAATGCTAAATGAAGCATAAAAGTTTATAGTGTTTGCTAAGCAAACTTCGCTCTACTGATAATCGGTTAAAAAATATTAAACAAATGTCGATGGGGCGTATGTTGTGTTTTAAGGCCTGCTAAATATTTAACAGACCAATATTTCTCTTTTTTTAAAATTTGTATCCTTCAAAAAGACACCAATTCTGAACACAAAGAATTTGAGCAAAACAAATTTCTATGAATAAATAAAAATCTCGAAAATATTTAGTATAGTACTCAACACATAAAAAGGGAATTCTCTTCCCATTCTTCATCCGATTCGCATTGCTCATCTCCGGAGAGAGTTATTCTTCTTTAAAATCCGAGCAGAATCCGAGAAGAAAGGGGTCCGTCCCTCTTGAAAAAGAGGACACTAAATTCGTTCAAATTCAATTCGGACATGGAAAAGTACTCGAAATCTTTACTTGTTAGGTCTGCTAAATATTAAGATTACAAACTACAAAAAACCGGAAGAAAAGCTTGAAAATTAAAGGTTTTATGAGGGGTTTATTAATTAGCAGACCAATGTGCTTCGTTCAAACATTAGCAGACCCACGAGAGACGCAGAGAAACGAGAAGGTTGGCCTGCTAAATGTTTAGCAGATCAATTCTAGCTTGATTGGGGCATTATTGAGATTCCCCATGGCTCAATTTGTTTGAAACTTTGCTATTATTGTCGGATTAAAAAAAGCATACTTGTAAAATTCCGGGCCGGGCCTGAGGAAAATTTCAAGGTCCGGAAGGCCCGGTAGCAAAAATTTTATCATTTTGAACCGAATTTTGAACTCTCAATACATTTTTTTTATATTTTTTTTGTGCTTTTTGGATTGCTTGTCTGTTTAATCAAAAAATATCAAAAAAACTCGAAAAAATTTTTTTGATCGAAAAAATCACATAAGGGTCCCCCCTTATGTGATTTTTTTTGGTTTTTTGAAATTTTCAAAACTTGTGGAATGACAGGCCCGCCGGGCCGGGCCGGGCCTCGGAAATTCGGGAAAAAGCCCGGCCCGGCCCGTTACAAGTATGAAAAAAAGTGACACCTGAAAATCTCGGAGACGGCGCTCGTGTCGATTTACGAGGGGGCGGAGCGAAAACGGACACTGTAGATAACAAATTTATTCATGTGAATTTAGTGGGATTTTCTGAACAAAATTTTGATTTCTTGATATAAAAACGATCGCTAGCATCTCTAGAATCTATTTTTAAGCAAAAAACTAAAATTAAACACGAAAGTAGCTCGAACAAGCCGAAATTCTGAAATATTACGTTTTTGCCGCACTTTTTCGTAGATCAAAAAAAGCAAAAGTTTTTAAATTCTCAGGTGTCACTTTTTTAATTCGACAATACATCAAATCGACACCGAAAAACACGAAACTGAAGTCAGAATTTCTAAATATTCACCTTGAGCTGAGTTATAGAGGATTTAAAGAGGCCTATCTTTGAAAAATAATATTCGACTATTTAATATGGACATTTTGAAGTCTATTTTAAAAGAAATTGCTGGAAAAAATGTGTCTAAACTAATGTTGACCTTCTAAAAACGAATTTGAAGTCAGAAAATGCAAAATTTAGGATGTTTTTAGCTTAAAAGAGCTTAAAATAATCTTTAATTGAGATTCCCTCAAATCTCGACAATTTTCGGTCACACAAAAGTACTCGAAAATTGTGGGAATGCGCCGCCCGTTTTAGTTGAGAAGAAGAACGGGAGGCGCCGAAAAATTTGCATATGAATGGAAATTTCTCGCTCATACACACATACTCAAACACATTTTGATATTCATATGCATTTTTCGAGAGTGATGCGGATACTAGAATTCACTAGAATTCATTCTCACAGCCCCGTTGAATAGTTTGAATCGTTTGGCGGGAATTTGAAAACGCTATTTGTCGGAAAAATAGGGAGGAAAACGGCAAAAACGGGGGTTTTGACATGATTTAAAACTAGAAAGGCAGAAAAATCGAGTTCAGTGAGCAATTTTAGACCAGAATAGTTCAGCATAAAGTCAAAAATCGCAAGAAAAATCGATTTTTCGACACATAATTTGAAATTTTCAAAATTTTGCGAGAAACGCGCGAGAAAGTAGATCAAAAATTAATTTCTAGCTTTTGAAACGAATTTTTTTTAAACACACAATGTTCTGCTAAAAAACTTAAGAAAATCAGTTTTTAAAAGCGCCTAAAAGGGCCAAATATAGTCAATAGAGCAAGAAAGATCACTCTACTCAGAGAGACGCAGACAAAAGGGCACTGTCCAGACGGTCCCGGTGTATGTGCTGCCTGTCAATGTCTCGTCAGAGGGGACCAGATGACCCTTCATGGGGGACAAAAAGAGAGAACAGGAGAGAGAAAAAGAGGGAAAAGGGGGAACGACAGGTGGTTATGTAGAAGAAGACACCCCCAGAAAAGGATGACATGGATATATAGAAGAGTATGTCCCTTTAAAGGGATCCCACGTTTGAAGGAACCCCATGTTTAAAGGGACAGGTGGTGAACAACAACAAGAGATTTAGTTTCAAAATGATACATTACCTAGATTGGGTTTTTATAAGCTTTGATGAATGGCTAGCAGACCCGACAATTAAAGATTTGCTCCATTAAAACCTTATAACTTAGCTCAAAGTGAAAATTCAGATTTGGATTTGGATTTGTCATAGTCGATTTGATAAAATACCAAAATTTCAGACAAATTGAACCATGGGAGATCCTGATAGGAGCCCAAGAAAGGTCGCATTGGTCTGTTAAATAATTAGCAGACCAATCCTCTCGTTTCTCTGCGTCTCTCGTTGGTCTGCTAAATAGCTAGCAGACCAACGAGGCGCAGACAATTAGATAGTGGTCTGCTATTGTTTGGGTGGTGCGCATCGGTCTGCAAAATATTTAGCAGACCACTTCTTTCGTTTCTCTGCGTCTCTCGTTGGCCTGCTAATTATTTAGCATAAAAATTATTTAGCAGGCCTACGCGCTTTCAAACATCAGGCCCTGCGCTTTCAAACATTAGCAGACCAACGAGACGCAGAGAAAGAGACGTTGGTCTGCTAATTATTTAGCAGACCAACGCTAGCTTTCTTCGAGCTTTTAAACTTATTCCCAGGGCTCAATTTGTCTGAAATTCTGTTATTTTATCAAATCTACCACGAGAAGTCCAAATCTGCAGTCAGAAATTTGAAATTCTATCTTATAGCTGTGTTACAGAGGTTTTAATGGAGCAAATCTCAAAATCAGGATCTTTTAAACTTTATTTTAAACATTAAAACTGCAAAAAACCTAGCTCCTAAATTAGAACTTCCTCTAATTCAGTGCAAAACTATCCGGAAGAGAAAAATTGCGAAACTCTTGGCAAAACTGAGCACACATTTCCCCTCTCAAAATGTGTCCCCTTGTCTTGGTTCTCAATCAAAAACGATCAGATAAGAAGGGACCGGACCCCCTTGTCTACTAATTTCAATGGCTTCTTCTGTTCTCTTGTCAAAACTGGTGATCTAGATTATTCTCGACCAGTCCAGTCTATCCCTTTAAAATGTGTTCGGATTCAGAATTCTCTTGTTAGAGGGGAAAAGAGAGCAAAAATAATGAATAGAGGAATAGTTGTGAGGGGGTTTTCTGGAGACGCGCCATCACATAAACGATTAAGAGGAGAAGGACGTCTTCTAAGGAATTGGCTCTTCTCTGTGAATTGCAAAGTATGAAAAATGGAAGAAGAGGGGAATGAATGAATTGGGAGGGAGAAGAATGAAGAATTATTATGGGGAAAAGTTTCGGAATGGAATTTTGAAAATTAAAAATGTTCCAAAAATTGGAATTCTTGAAATCTTGAAAATTGTCTAAATCCGAGAATCTAACTTTTCAAAACAATCAAAAACTATAAAATCCTGAAAAGTTGAAAAAATTCGAAAGATGAAAATCTGAAAATTCCCAAAATCCTTGAAATTTTGAAAATCATAAAAGTTTGAAAATTCCAAAAATTTAAAAATTTTGGGAATTTACAAAAACTTTAAAATCCCAAAAATTAAAGGAAAACGAAAAATTAGAGAATAATTTTTTTTTTTTTTTAATTCCGAAAAATTGAAATTTTTGAAAATTTTGAAAAATCATTTTTTTTAATTTCACAAAAAAATGTAAAATTCTGAAAACTCTTAAACTATAAAATCTAGAAAATCATAAAAATTCAAAAGTATTAAAATCCAAATTTTCAAATTTCCGAAAATTTGAAAAAAATAGAAAAATCAAAAAAGTTCCGAAAATTATAAAATCCTGAAATATCACGAAGTTGAAGAATTATAAAAATTCTATTACAAAAATGTTTTGATTTTCAAAAAAAAAATCCAAAATCCTGAAAAGTTGAAAAAATTCGAAAGATGAAAATCTGAAAATTCCCAAAATCCTTGAAATTTTGAAAATCATAAAAGTTTGAAAATTCCAAAAATTTAAAAATTTTGGGAATTTACAAAAACTTTAAAATCCCAAAAATTAAAGGAAAACGAAAAATTAGAGAATAATTTTTTTTTTTTTTTAATTCCGAAAAATTGAAATTTTTGAAAATTTTGAAAAATCATTTTTTTTAATTTCACAAAAAAATGTAAAATTCTGAAAACTCTTAAACTATAAAATCTAGAAAATCATAAAAATTCAAAAGTATTAAAATCCAAATTTTCAAATTTCCGAAAATTTGAAAAAAATAGAAAAATCAAAAAAGTTCCGAAAATTATAAAATCCTGAAATATCACGAAAGTTGAAGAATTATAAAAATTCTATTACAAAAATGTTTTGATTTTCAAAAAAAAAATCCAAAATCCGGGAAAACAAAAAAAAAGAAAATTTCCGAAAATTTGGAAAAAAACAACTTTTTTTTCAAATTTT